GGTGGAGTTATACGTGAAGTCTCCATGCCAGTGAGTGCAGTTTAATCTGCCCCTTTCCAAAGCAGCCAGCACTGGGCACTTGACAGCTGGAATATTAATGGAAATTATATCCAGGAATGGATTGATCAGTTTAAATGATAAGGACATTAAGCAAATAATTCCAGAAGAATCCAATATAAAATGTAATCCTATTTCACATCCCTGTGTTACAATAACATGACTCAGGCTCATTTACTGAGGTTACATGTTCAAATCAGCACACATAAGGCGTCTCCACCAAACTAATGAACTCCTAATGAACACTGAATTTACTATCCCAAATGGCAGTTAGCCAAGACAGATATCCCCCTTTTTGACTTATTGAGACACTAAAGCAAATTTGCTTTTGGCCTTTAGGCTAAAATGCTATGCAGTCTCAGTTCCCAACCTAGTAGGTAAGACACTGTTTCCTACTCCTGTAGAAGCTTGTCTCAGTAACTACTAGGGCTGACGAGATATTGACCTTGCTACTGTAATTGCTAGAGATGGGTTGGTATAGGTACTCTGAAGACCTCCATTAGTCTGTACTGATTGCTCCACGACATCTGAACAGCTCACAGCACTGGAAATCCTGACCTTAGATTACATTATCACAGCAGCTACAGAGTTTCCTGTGAGTGTTCACAGGGGCTCTAAATCCTGTGTTTAACATTTCCTTGATTTGCTTTTCAGTTCTGTAAGTTCAGACAGTCTAAGGCCACAGTGCTTCCTACCACATGAGCAGAAGCAGCTTCCCAAGCCAGTCCTGCAGTGTATAGTCTGTACTGTACCTTCACAGCGCGGGGGACGCCCTTTCCATTGTCCCAGGGCCGTACACTCCAGTGTCTCCAATCCATTCCGCACAAACCCCGTCTCACAGGAAAAGGCACAGGTGGAGTTATACGTGAAGTCTCCATGCCAATGAGTACAGTTTAATCTGCCCCTGCCCGGGGAATCCAGCACTGGGCACTTGACAGCTGGAATAGCAAAGCAGAACTTTATAAGGAAAAATCTGGATGTGGCAGGGGATGGTCCTTTGTTGCTGTGAGGTGAAGTGCCAGGGGAATTAGCTAATGGGTGTGTGTGTGAAGTGCCATGGGAGCATGGGTACATGAGGTTAGGTATTGGGGGCAAAGGGTGCTGGGGGATGTGATGCCAGAGGCATCATGCTCCACATGACATTCCCATAAGCAAACTAGGGAAATGTAGTCTAGATTTAATTTCTAGAAGGTGGGTGCACAACCTCTTGAAAAACCACACTCAGAGAGTAGTTAAACTGGTTTGTGTCAAACTGGGAGGGCGTATCTAGTGGAGTGCCACAGGGGTCAGTCCTGGGTCCAGTACTATTCAATATTTTCATTAATGACTTGGAGAATAGAGTGGAGACGATGCTTATAAAATTTGCAGATGACACCAAGCTAGGAGGGAGTGCAAGCATTTTGGAGGACAGAATTAGAATTCAAAACTACCTTGTCAAATTGGAGAACTGGTCTGAAATCAACAAGATGAAATTCAGTAAAGACAAGAGCAAAGTACTTCACTTAGGAAAGAAAATTGAAATGCATAACTACAAAATGGGGAATAAGTGGCCAGGTGGTAGCATTGCTGAAAAGGGATTTTAGAGGATCACAGATTGAATATGAATCAACAATGTGATGCAGCTGCAAAAAAGGCTAATATCATTCTGGGGTGTACTAACAGGTGTGCTGTATGTAAGATATGGGAGATAAATGTCCCGCTTTACTCTGCACTGCTGAGGCCTCAGAAGGAGTACTGTGTGCAGTTCTGGGTGCCACACTTTAAGAAAGATGTGGACAAACTGGAGAGACTCCAGAGAAAAGCAACACAAATTATCAAATGTTTAGAAAACCTGGCCTCTGAGGAAAGGTTAAAAAAACTGGGCATATTTAATCTTGAGAAAAGAAGAGGGGGTATCTAATAACGGTCTTCAATTGTGTTAAGGGTTGTTATAAAGAAGACAGTGATCAATTGTTCTCCATGTCCACTGAAGATAGGAAAAGAAGTAATGGTCTTAATCTGCAGCAACAGCAATTTAGGTTAGATATTAGGAAAATTTTTCTAACAATAAGGATAGTTAAACTCTGAAACAGGTTACCAAGGGAGTTTGTGGAATCCCCATCAGTGGAGATTTTAAAGAATAGGTTGGACAAACACTTGTCAGGGATGGTCTAGTTTTACTTGGTCCTGCCTCAGTGCAGGGGGCTGGACTTGAAGACCTCTTGAGGTCCCTTCCAGCTCTACATTGCTATGTGTTAAGTGATGCATTGCTGCAGTTTTCAGACCCTGGGGGTGGCATGTCTTGGGCGCTGGGTGGAACAATGCTGTCTGGAATGAGGTGCTGGAGTGTTAATGCCTCAGGGGGATGAGGTGTTATCATGAGTTGAATGGCGAGAAGCTGGGGGTGTAGTGCCAGAGGGAGAACTGTCTGAAGGGAGGGTACCATGACAGGGACTGATGGTTACCGAATAAACAGGTTAGTGGGGTGCCAGGAGGCAGGTGTCTGGCTGTGTTTGGGGGAAGGTGACAGGAAGAGGAGCCAGGGGACAGTAGTGCCAGGGGTTGTGGGGCAGACAGTTGACACTGGTGTAAATGGCTGCCCAAGGGGCAGGGCAATGGCGACGAAGGTCCATTTTCTCCCTATTACACAGCTTTGCATTGCACGTGTGTCCCATATCGAAGGATCTAGTCCCCTGGCTCCCAAGCCATCATACGAAATAGCTCTCCTCCCCAGAATGGGCAGAGATCTGGGCTCCTATGGAAAGGATGTCTCGTATCACACCAGCTCCACCATGTATTCTCTGCACACCCCACAGTTAATGGTGTGTCTCTACCTTCACAGAGTGGGGGACGCACTGTCCATTGTCCCAGGGCTGTGCACGCCAGTGTCTCCGATCCATTCCGCACAAACCCCATCTCGCAGGAGAAGGTGCAGGTGGAGTTATACGTGAAGTCTCCATGCCAGTGAGTGCAGTTTAACCGGCCCCTGCCCGGGGTGGCCAGCACTGGGCACTTGACAGCTGCAGACAGTCAGAATACGAGCAAAGTAAGGACAGTCAATGTAAGGACCCGCTCTCGCTCTTGGTGGGGTCCTCTGTACACAGCTCTCAGCCCTCACAGCAGCCCCTTCCTTTCCCCCCCCCCCCCCGTGGAAATGGCAGAGCCAGGTTCAGGGATGGTGTCATGGTGGGGGGCAAAAGAGGGACGATAATTGAGCCAACTGCATGAGAGCTGTTTGTTTTGTGGGAGCTATATTGGCATAGTTGTGGGGAGCTAGGACAGGAATACTCGTGGCTGATGTAAATTCTGTGATTCTTTGTCAAGGCCTGAGCCTTGAATACCAAAGGTTGCTGCAGAACAGTGTATGGCCACATGGCTTGACTAGTGGGAAATGATGCACAAGTTGGATTGAGGTGTGTTAGCAGAGCTGGGATTGGGAGATACCCAAGACCAGAATAGCAGGGAGTGAGGCAGGATGTAGATCAGGATTGAGGTGCTTTTGCAGAGCTGTGTAACTCTCTTGAATTGCAAGAGTCCAGTGCTTCAGTCCTCCTCCCCCATGTCACCTGTCACAGACAATCAGTGAGTCTCAGTTACCTGTGAGGGCAACCACCAGGTGCAGCCATGACAGAGTTAGTGGGGAGCAGTTATAATAACATTCTCCTAAATTACCAGTAAACTGGCCTTCCAGCAACCTCTTTCCAGGCCTGGCTTCCATTGCCACCCACTTGGACCATGGCAACCAACCATTCCCACTGATGGGAGAAGTGCTGGCTCTGGGCTTCCAAGCAATGGCAATGAGGGGCACAGGGATAAACTCACTGCCTTCATTCTGTTATAAAAAGGCAGTCAGCAGCGAACCAGCTGAGCGGTGAACAGCGGAGGCTAACAGAGGGAGTTTGCCTGGGAGTTCGCCTGGGGAGAGTGCACTGAGGCTTTCATCTTACAGGCTTCTCTGAGTAGTTACTACAACAGCTGAGGAAGCTCTTAGAAGGAAGGAAATATGGATGGTGAGCGTTCAGCTGTTGTTACCTGCACAGGATGTGCCATGTTTGCCTTTCTTCCACAGGACAGAAGCGACTTTGTCTGTACAAAAGTGCAAGCTGGTCTCCGTATTGGAAGAGAAGGTTCGAGGTCTGGAGAAAAGAGTATCGACTCTGCGTTGCATAAGAGAAAATGAAGATTTCCTGGACAGACGTCAGGATATGCTTCTACAGGCACAACGTTATGAACAATCAGAGCAGGCTGCACAGCTGGGACAGAAGGATGGTGAAGAAATTTGGCAGTATGTGACTTCCAGTAGAAGGAAGAGGAGCGTCCATGTACCAGCAATGCAGATACAGGTGAGCAACTGTTTTCATGTTCTCTCCACAGGTACTAATGCGGAGAGTGGACTAGATGATACATCTGAGGGAAGGGAGCAGAAGGAGACTCCACCGATTGGAAGGCATGAGATGCACTGTCCTAGGGATGGGGGTTCCATGACCACTGCTCCCAAGAGAAGGAGGCAGGTGGTGGTGGTCGGGGACTCCCTCCTCAGGGGGACTGAGTCATCTATCTGCCACCCCGACCGGGAAAACCGAGAAGTGTGCTGCTTGCCAGGAGCTAGGATTTACGATGTGACGGAGAGACTGCCAAGACTCACCAAGCCCTCGGATCGCTACCCCTTCCTGCTTCTCCACGTGGGCACCAATGATACTGCCAAGAATGACCTTGAGCGGATCACTGCAGACTACGTGGCACTGGAAAGAAGGATAAAGGAGTTTGAGGCGCAAGTGGTGTTCTCGTCCATCCTCCCTGTGCAAGGAAAAGGCCCGGGTAGAGACGGTCGAATCGTGGAAGTCAACGAATGGCTACGCAGGTAGTGTCGGAGAGAAGGCTTTGTATTCTTTTACCAGGGATGGCGTTCCAAGAAGGAGGAGTGCTAGGCAGAGATGGGCTCCACCTAACAAAGATAGGGAAGAACAACTTCACAAGCAGGCTGGCTAACCTAGTGAGGGGGACTTTAAACTAGGTTCATCGGGGGAAGGAGACCAAAGCCCTGAGGTAAGTGAGGAAATGGGATACTGGGAGGAAGCACGAGCAGGAGAGAGCAAGAGGGGAGGACTCCTGTCTCATACTGAGAAAGTGGGACGATCGGCGAGTTATCTTAAGTGCCTATACACAAATGCAAGAAGCCTGGGAAACAAGCAGGGAGAACTGGAAGTCCTGGCACAGTCAAGGAACTATGATGTGATTGGAATAACAGAGACTTGGTGGGATAACTCACATGCCTGGAGTACTGTCATGGATGGATATAAACTGTTCAGGAAGGACAGGCAGGGCAGAAAAGGTGGGGGAGTTGCATTGTATGTAAGAGATCAGTATGACTGAAACTGCAGGAAAACCTGAGAATCTCTGGATTAAATTTAGAAGTCTGAGCAACAAGAGTGATGTCATGGTGGGAGTCTGCTATAGACCACCAGACCAGGGAATGAGGTGGACGGGGCTTTCTTCCGGCAACTAACAGAAGTTACTAGATCGCAGGCCCTGGTTCTCATGGGAGACTTCAATCACCATGTAGCGGGGTGGTCACCCGCTCCTGCCCTGAAGGGCTTAAAACAGCCAGGGAGAGGGCTGTGGCAGGGAAAAGCTGGACTGATTGGGGAAGCGGCTGCAGCTGGGCCATGCCCCAATCAGGCCCAGCTGGTCCCTATAAAAGGCTGTGAGCCAGAGGCCCAGGGCACTCTCCCTCTGCATTCAGAGAGAGAAGGGCCTGGCTGCAGGGAGCTAGAGACAGGGTACCTGAGTGGAGCAGGGCTGGGGAAAGGCAGAAGAGCTGGGGAGCTCCAGCCTGGAAAGCCCCAGGCTGCGGCCTAGCATAAGGCCAATAGGTACTGGGGGTTGCAGAGGGTAGCCCAGGGGTAGGCAAAAGCAGCAGGCCCAAACCCAACCTTGCCAATGATGAGTGGCTTATACTGCAGTCTGCCCTGCGGGGGCTAGTTGCTGACTGGCAGTGGCCTTATTCTGAGGCGAGGTGGGGATAGTGGGTGGGGGTTCCCTGGGGAGGGGAGACCCAAAGAGAAAGGGGTACTGCCAGGGGGCGGCACCCAGAGAAAGGGGCACCGGGGTCCTGGGAGGGACCCAGGCCAGCGGCAAGGCGGATCACCAGCCTGCAGAGGGCGCTCCAACAGCTGGATGAGCTAATTCCCAAGAAAACCAGCAGGAGGTGCCGCCGGGTGAGTCCGCGCACTGCTACACACCCTGATATCTGCTGGGAGAGCAATACAGCGGTGCACAGACAATCCAGGAAGTTTTTGGAAAGTGTAGGGGACAATTTCCTGGTGCAGGTGCTGGAGGAACCAACGAGGGGCAGAGCTCTTCTTGACCTGCTGCTCACAAACAGGGAAGAATTAGTAGGGGAAGCAAAAGTGGATGGGAACCTGGGAGGCAGTGACCATGAGATGGTCGAGTTCAGGATCCTGACACAAGGAAGAAAGGAGAGCAACAGAATATGGACCCTGGACTTCAGAAAAGCAGACTTTGACTCCCTCAGGGAACTGATGGGCAGGATACCCTGGGAGAATAACATGAGGGGCAAAGGAGTCCAGGAGAGCTGGCTGTATTTTAAAGAATCCTTATTGAGGTTGCAGGAAAAAAACATCCCGATGTGTAGAAAGAATAGTAAATATGGCAGGCGACCAGCTTGGCTTAACAGTGAAATCCTTGCTGATTTTAACACAAAAAAGAAGCTTACAAGAAGTGGAAAGATAGGGAGAACAGCCGCATTAACAACACTATAAAATGGGGGAGTTACACTTACTGACTATAGGAATAATGACTCCTTGCTAAATGCAGGAGGTAATAACAGGTTGGATTTTTTTTGGCCTGTTTTGATAGAGGATACTGCTGCACCTTGGGAAGGGGTTTTGCTGGGTTTAGGCGAATTTTAACGGGTTGGGCAGACCCAGTGCACCCAACCTGGTTGGCATGATCGGCTCAGAAGGCCCACAGGGAGGGAGAGACCTTAACCAGCAGTTTCTGTTGCAATGAGGAAGGGCTGGGGTCGGGTTTTTTTTGTAAATTGCCAGGACCTTATTGTGAGCGGGACCAGGCACGTTCAGATACACACCATCTGGGGTACAGCAGATTATACAATTTAATTTACACAGCAAGATTTTTCCCAAAAGGTTAACTGGTAAACAAGGACTGAGGAGGAAAACATGATAGACAGAGGACCGACAAAAACGGTCAGAGATAAAGAGACGGGATGGGACACAAGAACGTTGCCCACCCCTACCGCTTGTGGAGCGGCCAGGGTGGTAGGGACATTAACTTAGTTTTAATGTGGCGGTGATAGTGTTGGGTTTTATTTAAATTTTTATTTTTACTTTGTTTACAGGTGCTAATTTTGGCTTAATTTGTTTTTTGTGGGCAGACTGTGAGAACTGCTTTTCACAGCCTGTTTTTTATTCTATTTATTGTGTTCTGGTCGTGGCCTGGGTCCTCCATGGGCCACCGGGCTGCCTGATAAAGGCAATTTAATGGGCAGGATTTTCCTTAGGAGTAGGTTTAAGTTTGCCCAGGTAGGGTTATATTAGTGCATGACAGTTTTTAATTTTTCTTGGAATTTAACAGGGTCTTTTTTTTATTTTCGGAAATTTTTTTAATTAAATTATACAATTCTGTGGGAGACCAAGGTGCATGCACAGACACCAAGGTCTCCTGACCCGAAGTGCCAATGCCCGGGAATTGGCGCAAGGGGAACATTTTTTTAGTATGGGGAGATACTGTCTGAGGGATACTTAAGGTGCTTAATATTTTTTGCCCTTGGGGCCGGTGGGGGCTGGGCAGCAGCTTCCTGCCCAGTTCCGTCTGGGCGAGGTGCTCCAGCAGCTGCTTGCATAGGCTGTGCTGGAGCAGCAAACTGCCTGCGTTTTAGGAACAGGTTTATAAGATTGTTAGGAGGTGCAGAGGGGATACTCCGAAGGAGCTTTACCTTTTGAAGGGGTCTAGATGGATAGAGAGATATTTGCTGGCC